TCAATCGCCCTTGACATATTTTCCAGTTTTTTATAACAAAGGTTATTATCTATGTACAAGGCCACTCCACCTCCCATCTTATTCTCTCTGTTTGTGCAGACCAAGTCATAACCATTCAAGTCAAGGTCAATTCCTCTTACATTATTAAACCATGTTTCTGAAAAAGCAATTATATTAAAAGAATGTGTAAGACTACTAAGATAATGTTTTATACTCTGAAAGTTTGCATATAAACTTCTGCTATTAAAATGAATTAATGATAAATTGTTTTCAGTCTTAACATTGCTGTTAAACTGCTCATCCGAATAATACTTGCAGTTATTTTCAGAGTTCTTAAAAAAGTTTATTTCAGGGTCAAAGTCTTTGTCTGGTTCATGATAATGAATTTCAGTATTTCCAAATGTGTTCAGCTCCAGATCCAATTCATCGAAAACTTTTAACTTGTGTGACAAATCACTTGTCTCATTCAGTACCTGGATCATGCTTGGTGTTGTAGATTCAACACTCATCTGCCATCGCCGATATCAATACACCTGCGTGTTTTTTCATACTTCGTATTTCTCCCATACAGCCGATGGTCCAGGGGCCCCTCCTCCCACTCCTTGTCTCAGCATGCTGGTCTTCAGCGTGCTGGACTTGGGTCCTGGTCCCAGGTTCTGAGGACGGATCACTAGTCGGTCATATCTCAGAAACGCGATGTCTCCTCTGTCCCTGGCCTCCCTTAACTTCGGCATCAACTCCTTTCTTCTCTTCCTCACAGCCTCGGTGTAATCTTCATTTATATAGATGTTAGATCCTTTGAGCTTCTTTGCCTGCTGCAATATGTGTGTTTTGTCTTTCTCATTCCTCAACTTTACCATCACCGCCCTTGGACCACGATCGGTGGGTTTCCCGACTCTGTGAGCCCTCTCCATCTCAATTTCATGTTCAATCTGCAAATTGTTCTTAAGAATCTTCTTAACTTTGCCCTCCGCATCCATCCAGCTTTCTCCAGCTGTCTGCTTGATTCCCGCAAAGATCAAGTTTTTTTTCGCTTGGATTAGAATTAGAATAAGTAAACTGCAAATTTTGAGAGTGAATGAATTTTAGCTCTGCACACCAACAGGAGAACATTCTGTGTTGAGAACAAGCACTGGAGATGAAAGACGAGTGGCAAAGTGAGGTTTGTTCTGGGGGTGAAGGACACTGTGTTGTATTCAAATTATGGGAGAGAGATCCCCAGCTATTTATATCAGGCTGTTTGTCAGATATATGTTATCAGGTTGCCTCAAAACATGCACTATTTTCTGCATATTTCAGTATCATCTATTGCTGCTTTTCAGAAAACCTTTATTCTTTTTCATGCATATATTTAGGTGAACTCTTATATTTTATTGTTTATATTATAGCTCCTATTTGTGGTATTCATATCCCCTTTTCCTTGCATTATATCCAATCTTTCTTTATTTTTAAATCAGAGCAACATAAAGCCTCTTCATTTCATTGTAAATGTAATGCATTAGACAGAAACATAATGGCCACTAAGTGATGAAGAAAATGCTTTTATTTGTAAAAATAATAAATATCTAGCACAAGTATTTCATCATCGCACACATTTCAAATTCATTTACAGCACTAGCTACTGTCAGTTATTACAATATGTGTTCTATCAGATTTAAATATGAGCTGCCACTTGGCTAACATGGCAGATCAGTTAATACACAGTAAAGAACAGGTTATTAGTTTTCCTAAGTCCTCTTGATTAGAGGTGTCAGCACACACACACACACACACACACACACACACACATATTTATACAGCTGCAGTGCATGATCATTCCAGATCATTCTCTACTTTCCACAGAGATCAGAGGTGGTCAGAGGCCTGGAGGACGACCAAGTCATGCTCCCTGACACCTCGCCCCTCCCCTATGTCTTTCACTTTTTACATCCATCTTTACAGTTTTACTTACATCTGCCTTTTGCACATGATTTTCCATCTGCATCTCTCAATGCATCACCTGAACCCTGAGTCAAATAACCTCAAGGACACTTTCATTTACCACATGAGGATATTTGCACTTTTCAATACTACAGAATGTCAAAGAAAATGCGTGTGGCATGGTTAAGGTGCACCAGTGCATGCGACAGCTCTGTTACGCTGATTCCATTGGGAGAGCAGCAGATATGGTGAGGCCAGCCGACCAGCATGGGCAGAGATTAGCCCAGGGCACAGCTGAGAACACACACCCTCCATCACAATGCCTTCACGTAATCTTTTCTAATACCACTGACCACCAAATGACAAAGCGTGACATTTACCTGGTGCTGTGCTCACTGAGAAACACAGATAATGCTAAAGATCTATGGTATGTAGGGTTTATGATGAATGCTACTAGAGATAAATATATATACAT